TCCAAGGCAGGGGGGCCCCCCTTCTTGCCTAATACCCAAGGTAAAGGGGGCCCTCATAGCCTGGCCCGAAGGCAGGAGGGGGCCCCCCCATAGCCCTGTACCCAAGGGGAGCCCCCAAAGCCTGGACTCAAGGCAAGGAGGGGGGCCCCCCTCGCCCTATACCCAAAGTAGGGGGCCCCCCATTAGTCTTTCCCTCAAGGAGGGGCCCCCCAGCTCCTACCCAGGGGCCCCCTTTACTGGCGGCCCCTCGCCGCTCCGCAGACCACTCCACAGCCCCAAATGATGCCCAAGATACGTGCAAAATGCATGCAAAGTGCATGCAAGGACGGCCCATGAGTTTGGGGCTTTCTGGCCATGGGCCTTAAGTCTGCGCAACGAAACCGAATATTGATTCCTTAACGCGTGCGACATCTACAGCCCTTGCGCGGCCGCTGCTGCCGCTGCTGCTGTTGCCGCTGCTGCTGTTGCTGCTGCTGCTGCAGTAAGTTAATCAGTACAAGGTGGCATATAGACCCAATTCGTTTACCCAAGCGCCGCTGCGCTGCACTGTTGCTTCCGAGGGCAGCATCGCGGGAACTTCTGTCCGAACTCCTGAAAAGAAAAACTCGCAGCAGACTCTCCAGCTAGCTGGCTAGCTAGCTAGCTAGCTGGACTGTGTTTGCCGTTGTGCCTAGCGAGCTGGCCAGCTAGTGAACTGTCTGGCTGGCTACTAGCCAGCTGAAACGATGCTGCACCTGGGGAGCTAGCTAACCAGCTGGCTGCCTTGCTGCCGTGCCTAGCTTGCTAGCCAGCTATTACTCGGCAGGCCTGCTAGGCTAGTTAGCTAGATAGCTAGCTGGCCAGCTAGCCGGCTATCCGCCTGGCCAGCTAGCCGGCCTGCCGCTGTGCCCAGCTCGCTAGCTCGCCAGCTCGCCAGCTAGCTGCCCAGCAGGCTAGCTAGCTCGCCAGCTAGATGCCCTGCTAGCTAGCTACCTCGCTAGCTCGCCAGCTAGCTGCCCAGCTAGCTAGCTAGCTAGCCCGCCACCTAGCCAGCTAGCTAGCTAGCTAGCTAGCTCGCGAGCCAGCTCGCCAGCTAGCTGGCCAGCTAGCTAGCTAGCTAGCTAGATAGATAGATAGCTGTTGCGAGTGTGCGCACCGAGGACGTCGACCTCTGCCTTTTGCACTGAGGGTTTTTCGAAAGGCTGCGGCAGCAGCCGCAGCAGCATGGCGCTGATGTTGTCGCCGCTGCCCATTAAATAAGCAGCAGACACAAGACGCGAAACTGCTGCTTCCAGGTCCCCCCCACTCGACTGCACGCAGCAACAAACGAGGGTTTAGGGTTTAGGGCTTGGGTTTTGCGGTTCGGGCTGCGGGGGAGGGGCTGGGGTTTAGGGTTTCGTGGTAGGGGCTGGGGGTAGGGGTTCGGGGTAGGGGTTTGGGTTTATACAGAGCGACGCAGCTAGTGACGCTCTAAACCCTAAAACCTAAACCCTAAACCCTAGGGAGCTTGCCTTGAGCTGCATGGCGACAAAGTTGGCGACGAAGCGCCAGGTCATTCCCTGGGCCTCGAAGACACCTGAAAGGAGAAAATAAAAAAACAAAAATATATATATTGTTTGTTTAATTTGTTTTTAATTTCCTTTTTTTAAATTTATTTCTTTATTTGGTCTCTTTTGTTTCTCTTTAAGCGCCTCTAATAGCGAAAATCTCGTGTTCTTTCCCATTCTTTTGTCTCTCTTTTCTCTTTCTTTCTGTTTTTCTTTTTGTCTTTCCTTTTGTCTTTTCTTTTGTCTTTTTATTTATTTCATTTATTCTTTAAATCCTTTTCCCCTTGAATTCCTTTTCCCTTTGTTTCCCTGTTTCTCCTCTACCCTCTTTTGTCTTTCTCTTAACTCTTTTTTGTTTCATTATCCATTCCTTTTATTCCCTAAATTCCCTTTAATCCTTTTCAATCTATTTTAAAATCTTTGAACCCGTTTTGATCTTCCTAATCGTTTTTAATTCTTTTTATTTCCTTTTAATCCCACTTAATATCTTTTCTCATCCCTTTTATATTCCATTTCAATCTTTTTAAATCCATTTTTGTTCCTTTTTCTCCCTTTCAACTCATTTTCTCTCTCTTTTAATCCTGTTTCCTCCTCTTTTCTCCCCTTTTATTCCATTAATCCCATTAATCCATTTAAACTCCATTAACCTCCATCAAACCCCATTAAATTCCATTTAATTTCTTGAAATTGTTCTTTTTTTATATTCTCACCATCGCATGCATAAACCAACACGTCCCCCGCCCGCACCCGCAAAGTCCGCACGTGCGGCAGCGCCACCACCTTTTGCTGCGAAGGCAGCAGGTCCCCGCGGCTCTTCATTCGCTGCAGCAAAACACCGAACGATGCTGCTGCTGCTGCTGCTGCTGCTGCTGCTGCTGCTGTTTGTACTGTTTATACTGCTGATGCTGCTGCTTCTAATGCTGCTGCTGCTGCTATTGCTGCTGTTGCTGCTGATGCTGCTGCTGCCGATGCTGGTGGTGATGCTGCTGCTGCTTCTATTGCTGCTGCTGCTGCTTCTGCTGCTGCTTCTATTGTTGCTGCGGCTACTCCTGCTGCTGCTGCTGCCACTGCTAGTTCTATGTATATATGCTGCTCCTACTTCTACTGATGCCGCTGCTACTCCTGCCGTTGCTGTTACTACTACTGCTGCTGATGCTGCTACTCCTATTGCTCCTGTTGCTGCTGCTGCTTACGAAGTCGCAAAAGCTGCGGCTGAGAGCAACTCTGTTGCTGATGCCACTGCTATATAGTACTACTACTAGTACTACTACTACTACTACTACTACTGCTGCTGCTGCTGCAGCTGCTGCTGCTGCAGCTGCTTACGAAGTCGCCGAAGCTGCGGCTGAGGGCGAGTCTGCCGTCGATGCGCCAGACGCCCATGGCGGTGCGGAGGACAGAACCTCCAGCTCTTTTGACTCTTTTGGTTTCTTTTGGATCATTTGGTTTTTGGTCCGAAGACATTCGAGTGAAAGACCCGTCCGCATGCAACACCAACAAGCGAGAGTCGCCTGAGAGAAGAGGGAAAAGCACCAAAAAGAGAAACTTGTAACCGAAAAAAGAATTCAAATTGCAAAAAAAAGCTGAAAAGCGAAAAAATGGGGAAAAACGAGCAAAAACAGCAGCAACAGAACCAGCAACAGCAGCAGCAGCAGCGCAGCAGCAGCATCATAAAAAAGCAAAATAAATTAGGAGGAAAGAAGGGGAAAATGAAAAAGGAAAAAGACTGGGAAAACGAAAGGGGATAAAAAATGAAGAAGAAATCTGAAATGCATCCATTGGAGAGAAAAGTATTGCGTTGTAAGTGCAACTTGAGTTCATTTACACTGCAGCTTTAAGAGAACTAAAAAGCAGAAAAGCAAAAAAATAAAAAACGAGGACAGAAGTGCCAAAGAGGATGAAAGTAGCAGGAAGAAAAGAAACAAAGAGACAACATAGAAGGAAAAAGAAACAAAAGGACAAAATGGGGGAAAAATTTAAAAAAATAAAAAAGATGAAAGGCACCTATGTTGGCTGCATGCAAAATGAATTCCGGGACAGAAGGGTCTGGGGCCTCCAAAACTCCGATAATTCCTAAAAATAAATAAAAAGAAAAAAGCACAAAAGGCCCTTGTCAGCTCCGGTGTACGTACACCTCAACGCTGCATGCAGAGGCAGCTGTACGTACACATCAATGCTGCATGCAACTGCCAATAGCAAAAAGCCAAATATAAAAAAGGCATGAAGAGACACAGAAAGCGAGATAAAGACAAAGAGGCCGAAAGAAAAAGACGAAAAAAGAAAGAGAAGAGGAGAAAAGAAGAGGAGAAAATGAAGAGAGAAACTGTGAGAGAAAAATCAAGAGGGACAACAACGAGGCCAAAATCATTTGACACGGACACCAAAAGCTGGCTAACTAGCCAGACAGCTAGCCAGCTAGCTGGCCAGACAGCCAACCAGCTAGCTAGCCAGCTAGCTAGCCAGCTAGCTAGCCGGCTAGCTAGCCAGCTAGCTAGCCAGCCAGCTAGCCAGCCAGCTAGCTAGCCAACAAGCTAGCTAGCCAGTTAGCTAGCCAGCTAGCTAGCTAGCTAGCTAGCTGACAAACCTGTAGATCCTGGCCCGAGGGGGATTTCGGGGTCACTTCTGAGGGCGGCATCGAGGGCAAAACTGGCTTCAGCAAAAGAGTTGCCGCTGAAGTCTGGCATTCTTCCTGAAAATAGTTGCATGCGGGTCAACTTTTTGTTTTTTTTTCAATTTTTTGGATATTTTTTTCCAAAAAAAGCATTTTAAATCTCCGCGAGAATCCCGCATGCATAAAGATCCAAAAAATACCTTTAAACAGCAAAAATTAAACTTTTTTTTGAGTTCAGGAAGTGACCTTTTGCTGCACTTGCATGCGAGAGAGTAAACATTTGCCTTCGTGGCCGTCAAAAAAGTCAAAAAAGAAAAAAAAAAGAAATAAGGTTGAAATATATTAAAAGATATAATAAAAGATATGATAGAAGATATTAAAAGATATAATAAAAGATATTCCTCAAAAGAATATTAAATAGAAGATATAATAAGAGATATTGGGTAAAAGATATTAAATAAAAGATGTTATATGAGAGCTACAAATTAAAATAAATTTAAAATGAAAATAAAGACAAACCAAAAAAAAAGTTGAAGTGGAACAGCGGTCCCTCAAGAAAACGAAATAAATTAGAAATAAAAATAAAGGACAATAAAAGATATTGAATGAATAAATAAAAG